ACTTGAAGTTGGAGCGCATCGCAACACGCAATCGCTTCTTACTTTCAATACAAATCACACTATTGAATTAAAAGGGGGAGAATCCTCCTACAAAATTATACACCAATACTCCCAACCCATAATTACTGTGTCACCAACAGTTTAAAGCCACAGCCAGCCAACCTTGAGGACATTTACTGCTGTTGTCCAGGGGAAACCAGGGGACAGAGAACGGCCTCATATCGTTTCCTAGGCTGTAATCTCGATGGTAGTACATGTCCAGGTCTCCCTCCCATGGAGCCACTGGGGAGGGTGGAATTAAACCTCCAACCTTTCTGTCCACAGTGAAGTACTTAAACCATTGAGCCTAGGGCTCTCCACATTAGGTTGAAAAATTTCAGCACCAAGTAATGGTGAGCGGGCCGCCATCTTGAGAAAAGGCAAAGGTCTAATCTCCCTGTTGCTTCTGTTAACTGGTGTCGGAGCCACGTCTTCTACACAATCAGGGGGAAAAGCAGCACACCTAAGTGGCAGCACTTCTGCTCGCCTGGCGCAGACTGGTCCTTTGTCCTGAATATCACAGCAGCCAGCCCGCAGCTTCAGGGGAAGGAGACTGAGCACGCTTGTCTTCCCTATGCATGGGGCTGGAAAGGCACCAAGGTTCCATGCCTGACGTCCAGGAGCTCAGACAGACTCAGGGAGACGAGACAAAAAATGGTTGGCATAGGTGGTATGGGATAGCAGAATCACAGAACAGTCAACGGCACTGGGCTCTAACCTCAAGTCAATTCTGCATAACTTTCTTGAATTCACTTATAATTTTTCTCTTTGGGTCCTCAGTTTCCTTGGAAAAATGAGACAAACATATCCGATGATGCCTAAGGTCCCCTATAAGAGTCCCTGGATGGTGTTAACTGCTAGCAGCAAATGGTTCCCAGTTTGAGCCCATTCAGGGGCAAGGTCCACGGTTCAAAACCACCAGCTGCTCAGGCCTCCCCTCCCATAAAGAGCCGCAGTCTCAGAAACTCACAAGGACCATTCTACCTTGTCCTGTAGGGTTGCTTTGAGTCAGAATTGACTCGATGGCAGTGAGTGGTGGCATCAGAATATAAAAACTCACTAATCTCGCTGTGAAAAATCATCATTGAAAACCTCTATGGAGCACAGCTCTACATGGACCCACATGGGGTCACCATGTGCCAGAATCAACAGCAATTGCTTTTGAGACCCTATGGAAAGAAAATAAAAACCCCAACACATACTGCCACCAAGTCAATTCTGACTCAGAGTGACCCTGTAAAGGTGAGTTTCCTAAACTGTAACTCTTTATGGGAGTAGAAAGCTTTGTCTTTCTCCTGCGGAGCGGGTTGGTGGCTCAAACTGCTAGCCTGGTGGCCAGCCACTCAAAGCATGACCACTATGCCACCAGGGCTCCTGAGACCCAGATAGCTTTTCAGTAATTGGATAACTAGGGAACTTTTTAAAAGGCAAACTCATTGCCATCAAATGGATTCCAACTCATATCAGCCTACAGCACTGCCTCATTGGGTTTGCAATGCCCTCGTTTTTTATGGAAGCGGATTGCCACACTTTGTTTTTCTTCCTCTGGAGCAGTTGGTGGGTTCCAATCACCGCTTGGTTTACAGCCAGGCGCTTTAACCTCTATGCCACCAGGGCTCCTTACAGCGGAGCCAAGATAGGATATAATTAAATGTTAAATTACCAGTTGCATGTACCACCGCCACAAGAGAGATTTCACTGATGTTTTTCTGAGTCAGACATTCATCCCAAACTACTTCCTAAGAGCCTCATCAGGTACTAGGGGGGTACAGAAGAGTAGAAGACAGAATTCCCGGCCTTCCTGAAGTTTACATCCTATTGGTGGATTACTCTTTAAGAGTTAACAGGGGGAAAACGGGGGCTGGATTGGTTTAGACTCTATTAATAGGGACAGGGGCAAAAATAGGCTTTAAGTGGTTATAGCTTGAGCACTGGGGACTGTCATCATAAACAAGGAGGCTTGGGAACAGATGCACTAACACAAGCAATCTGCTAATTTGCTAATCATTAGTGAAGTCAATTAGTTAGCTTCCAGAAGTTAGCCAGACTTTTCCTCCAGCCTTTGCCAATCCTCTACTATCCCCTCTCCCTGCCAGCAGCCCAATCCCCAAACCCAGTATCGGTGGCTATTTTTTTCCCTTTTATCTCCCCCCACCCGCAATTATGCTTATAAACAATTAGAGAGACAGGCAGGCACCAAGGGACAATTACTAAGTGGAGAGAATTCACACCTAAATCATGTAGAACCAAAAAAAAAAAAAAAAATCAAACCCACTGCAGCAGAGCCAACCCTGACCCTTTACAGCCCTCTAGATACAGATTCCAGAGCTGTGAATCTTTATGGGAACAGCCAGCCTCACCTTTCTCCCGTGCAGTAGCTGGTGAGCTTGAATCACAGACCCCGAGGTTGGCAGCCCAATGCTATCTGGCCAGAGTCTACTCTAAAGGAGAATTGGCTGCAGGAGGATTGGCTAAACGCCTCTTTGTATGTAAACTGCTAGAGAAGTTGAGGAAAACGAGAGCAGATAGGGTTTATTTGGCTGAGTAGCGTTCTGTCTCATACAACTAAGGAATGTGGTATAACTTACATAGATATTTTGCTAAGAATATCATAGAACCTAGATTCTCAGGAAGATTGGGGGGAATTGGGGAGCTAGTAACAGTGAGTGCAAGAAAGAAGAAAATGCTCTAAAACCGATTGTGGTCATAATTGTAAAACTCTTCTTAATCTGAATGAACTGTTAAATTGTATGATATGTGAATTGTATGTCAGTAAAATTGTTTTTTTTTTAAATATTTAATTCCTAAAACTAGTAATTCAGAAAATCTGGCCCTTTGTCTTGGGAAATGTAGAACTCGCGTCGCTAATAATGCAATAAAATATTGCCTACCAAGCGTACTTTTCATTTTCCAAATAACTTCCCTGGAATGTCGGTGAGCTGTTATGTTTTAATACAAAGTAATCTGAAGTGTTGGATCTAAAGGAGTCATCACTGTTACAACTCTTCCTAAAATTTTAAAAAAATAAAAAGTCAGATGTATGTCTTCTCCAACCACCCTTTGAGTCCAGAGCAGATGTGTGCAGTGTTTACACTGAGAAAACCACGAGGGCCATAAACAACCACCATAATTTTGCTGTGCTTTTCTTCATTTCCTGTGTATTTATTTTGGTGTTAAAATAATGTTAACTTTCATAATAAGGAAAATGGCAGCAGATGTTTAAACCAAACATACTCCATAGCAGATTAACCCAAATACCTATTCAACTTTCAAAAATCAAAGTTTTTTCTTCCAAGTAACCAGGAGGCTTGGGAGAACACTATCCGTGTATGACATAGCACATGACAGGTAAATTGGGTAGAAAAGCTTCCCATTAGGTCTTTCTCACCATCACCAGTTGGAGAACATTAGAAAGTTAATCTGGTATCAATTTCCTAATAATCCCCGTATTCCTCTCTTAAGGTTGATCATGTGTTTTATTTTTCAAATATCATGTTACCAACACCTTCACATGTTTTTCCCTTTCTTGTTCACTGAGAAAGTATTTACGTTTTTAAAAGTCTGTGTTAATTCAGCAGGAACCACAAGGATCCTCTTGCTGCTTCTTCCACTCTTGGAGTCTACCTTTGCTCTCGGAAGCAGATCATGCAGAAAGCATCAGATTTAAAACAAATCGCCACTTAGAAGCGCCGTAACTGGAACAAGTAGGATTTTTTTTTTCCTAAACACCATTCTGAAAAGAACCTCAAATATCCTTATCCATTGAGTTGAATAAAAACAGCATGAATGGCATTGTTTTGTTTTGTTTTTCCCTGAGAAGACGGCGGCAAGTTTTCAACTCATCGGGAAGCAGGCCTGAATTGTTTTGTTTTTTTTTAACACAGAAAACACAAGTGAATCCGCTCACCCTTCCAAGTCTCTTCCTGGCTTTCCTTTTCTTTCTCAAGAGAAATAAATGCTCTGTTTACTGCAGGAGAGAACATGGCAACGGCTCCTGCTGAATCGGAAAGGAGACGTGGGCACGATTTGTCCCTAATTACAACAACAACAACAGAAAAGCACGCTGGGCCAAGCTTCAGTTCTCCCCGGGAGCCTTCTGTCCAGTCAAAGCCAGGCCATTACCACTTTCCCAAATGGCACGTAGATAGGGTTCCAGATCAAGAAATCTCCCCCACCCACCACCCACCCCTTATTCCTACTCGCCAGGCAGGCTTGGAATACTGCAAGGCAGTGAGAGCACACCTCAGGGGTAGCGGGCGATAATAAGGACCATCTAGGGCGTTTTTTGCCCCCTGTTGTCTCCCCACCCTTCCCTTTTTAATTTAGCTTTCTGGCCTGGGTGTTGTGTAATGATTCCCACAGGGGCTCCAGCGTGGAGGGAGCATCCTTCAGTGTCAGAACTCTCACAGAGCAGCACAGGAAATGGCAAGTCAAACAAAGGGCCAGTCTGTACTCGGCCGCCCCAAACGGAATACAAAAATCCTGCATTGCTGGGGACCATCGCTGTCTACCACGGAAACGCACTGTAACGTTTTGTTCGGGGAGGGGGGGGCCCCCCCGCAGGCAACCCCAACCCTGTACACGGTGGTGGGGTGCTTAAAGGAAGTCCCCAAGCCCTCTCCCCACACCCGTCTAACTTTCACTTGGGGCAATGCCAACGGAAATTTAAAAGAGAAATAAGTGTTTCAGAACTTAAAACAAAAAAATTAAGAGCTCATAAATTGCAAACAAAGCAAACTTCTCTACCAGATTGTATTTCACCGCTCTGGCCCTGCCGGCCTCAGTCTGTAACACAGACAGACTTTGTAGTGCCAAACTAGAAATGATAGTCTTGCGTTCCACACACCCTAAAGTCCTAAGGAAATGCACAAAATGCCCAGAATGCGATCGGACTGCTAAACGGGAGGGAGTGGCCTTCACAGAAGTTAGGGGCGCAGCAGTTTCTCGAAGGGAACACCTACCTTCGTAGCACAGAAGGCCGAGATTGTTGTTCATCTTGTCCAAGTACTGGTAGTTCAACAGGTCCATCTTCATCAACAGCATTTATTGGGCTAGCAAAGAAAACCAGCTCTTTGCTTTCGCCCCCCCGCCCCCCAACAGTAAGTTTCAAGAAAAAAGAAAAAACAAAACGATCAATGGTTGCCGAGTAGCTCCTGGCAATCAGTCCTCTTCACTTCACAAAGACCTCTGACGATCACAACGAAGTAAGGAAAAGTAAAAAGGTACACACACACACACACACACACACACAACCTAACTCACACAAAACCCTTCCAGGGTTTCTCGGTAGGCGGTACACGGATGGTAGTCTCGGTGGAACATGAAAAAGGAGTTTCAGAAGTCTTTGCAAGTGTTGCTCAGGAATAAAACGAGGGCACGGAGGCAGACACGACGCACATTTCTAGGACAAAGACAGGCTGGCGGCGCTCACAGCCCGCTGCAAGCCCGCTGCGCTGACATGCTGGCTATGCGCGGAATGACTCCGATGCAACCAGCGGCCTCGGCCAGCCGGAGGGCCGCGCACGCGCACTGGGCCCGGGCCGCCCGGTCCCCAGCCTTTCTGCTCGGGATCAGCCCCTAAAGGCATTGGGTGTTTGAAAGAAAGAGGGGGCGGAGGAGGAAGAGGGCGGGGGCCTGAGCAGATGGGGCCCTTGCTGCTAGGCCACTGCACTGCTGGGGGAGGTAAAGAGAAAACTAATCAAGCTTCCTTTTCGGGAGCTGGGTATAAAGGTTAAAAACCAAAACGTCAGGGACGCAAAC